GTGTATACGCTGGCGGCGGTTGATCTACTTCGACAGCGGAGGGAGAGGTGTCAGTTTCCATGACTTTCCTCCTCTTACGACGCACAAAGCATCCCAAGCATCTACGTGGGGTGTGCGTAATGTCAGCGCGGACATAGCAAAGGGCAATATATAGGAAGTTAACGAGTTGGGGTTCAAAGAGAAGGCCAGCAACACGCACACAATCAACACCAATAAGCCGATGAACACACCTACGAGTGGTCCAAGGATGTCTTTGCCGGGACAGTAGTGACTGCGGCCAAACTTGTCTTTGCATCTGTGTGGTTGTTATGCTGTTAGATGTAGAAATGTTTGCCATGCTGATTCGGGATGATTTTGAAAAGATTGAGACGGCAGGGAGGGGTTCATATATATTATACCTTCTGGCAGTTTGTCGAGGATATGTGAAGGAAGTTGAAGATGGTGTGGACCAATAGTCATCCATGCTAGCGATATTCTTTTTCAAATGCGTCCCTTTAAAACTGGGGAGAATAGCCCGCCGGGAATTTGGGGGCAACCTTATCGAAATACAATCGCAGCGCTTTTATACGTAATTCTCTCGCCGCGGAAATTCAAGCGCAACCTAGCGCAATTGTGTCATTGTTGTAAAGCTTCGCCTTGCGCCCATTCACCGTATACAACAAGCCAAGGTCGAGATACATCCGGCTCGGGGATAGATCACCGGCGAGAATGCTCTTGTCAGGCTGGGTATGCCTTCTTGGAATGCTAGCCAAGTCGGGCGATATCATGGCTGTACTCCGTGCCAGCGAGTCAACGTTTGCAGAATTCAAAAAGTGGATATGTTTTCCCCGACGATAATACGAGTTGTCCCTCGTCTGATTTAACTTAGAGATCAACGCCCTACCCGGAACATTTGACAAGCGCTGCTGATTTTTGCGAGAGTCGAACATGTCTTGAAGGTCACGGAAAGTTCAAGATGACAACTTTCTTCCGTGCAATTTTTGGTTATGAACCACGTTCCTCTCAAAACGTGAAGGATGAGAGAAGAAAATATAAGGTGATAAGATAGACACAGTGGGGCCCCACCTGTCTCTTTTCCAGAATAAATAGAATGACCCTGTTAAAAAATTGCAAGATGAATCTTGCTGCGCTGCCTTCGTTCGAAATTTTTGTCTATCCACAAAGTTGGTTGACCACCTACCGACTACTAACAGCAGTTTCTATAGGCGGCGTAAAACACAATAGGGCATGAATGGGCCGGTTACGAGGAAAAGTCTGGGCTTGAGCTGTAACTAATTGGTCTAGGGCTTTCGAAGCACTTGGCCGAGGCCGCTAGTCAATAAGGGTGGTTGGCTGTGATGAGTGAGATATTAGTTTTTCCTTTTTTTTTTTTTTTTGTTGTTGTTGTTAACTAGATATCGCAGATGTGGAAATGAAAACTTCCAGGAAATCAAATCGAACCGGTGGAACGTTATAACTAGTGGTTATACGGGGGGGGGGGGGGTTTGGGTGGCGTTATAACCCATGTTACTATGTATGTTAGCCAAGCCCCACGATAACTTTTTAGTGTTTAATTATACGGAGTACCGTACATACATTCAACCCCACTTGATTCATACCGTACGAGCAGGCATCATCCTTCAAGAATAGATTTTTAAGCAACCCTGCTCTGTATTCTTCATCATGACATCTCTAGCTGACTGTACAGAGGTGGAGCGGCAGCTTCAGATCAGCAAAGACTTTTTTTTGTATGGGGAAAAGACTCTGACTCTGGCCCTGCAGATTCAATCAACTATATAAACGACCAGGAGGGAGATAACATACAGGATAGGTAGGTACGCCGTAGTACGTTACAGCACAGCCTCGTTTGCAACATTGATTGAAGTAGGATAGCTGTATTTTATGTTATTTTTCCTCCCCTTTCAACTTCTTACGTCGCGTATCATGGCCATGAGTTATGTATGTATGTATGTATCCCCTCGTGGGTAGGTTTTTGCAAAATTAGCGTGGTTTCAATTAGTGTATGGAATCTG